AGCGCCCCGCCCGCCGGCGCTGGCACGGCCCCTTAAAGCGGACGCGGTACGGACACCGCTGAGGCACACCTTGCCCTCGGGTCCTGCGTCCCAGGTATAGCACCAAACGCAAACGCGCGCTCCACGCTCCCCCTTTCCACTGACATCTTTGTAGCTCTCCCTACAAAGCGTGGGAACCCTGAAGTAGGCCATGAATTGCAAGCCGGTTGTCAACACAGGTAGGGTTTTCAGAGGGGGGGGGAGGGGGGCCAGGCTGCATCAATTTGGGCAATGTGTTTGGACCTTGGGGAATGGCTTCCGAAAGGCCATATTCAGTCATTCAACTAATACTATTGAGCCCCATAAGTATTTCTTAAGCTGAATCTAAGGTTTACCAAGGCTCAGTAATATGTATTGAGGTAGATACCCTGCTGGGCTGGGGAGTGGAGACACATATCCTGCCCTTACACAAGGACTTATGAGGGATACCACACAGGGGAACAAAGTGTGGCAAGAGCCCTGAAAGAATGGGGAGAGCCAATAGGAAGTGGCTACTTTGGAGAGGAAGGGAGTTGGGAGGGTGTTCAGACACAAAGGAAGATGCCCTAAAGCCCCAAAATAGGAAGGAGTTAGGGTGTGAGGGTTTGTGTGTGTGTGTGTGTTGGCAAGGGAGGGGGAGTTGTTTGTTTAACCTTGAAGAACCAAAGGAAGGTCAGATGGTTCTAGAGAGCAAGGGGGAGAGAAACAGAGTTTGGAAATAAGCCAACACAGCCAGGCAGGCCAGAGGTCCTCTGCTCTGTGGGGGTTATGAGGCAGTCTGCCCAGGGTCATCTGTGGGCCTCACACATGGAAGGAGCCCAGGGGAGAGAAAAAGAGACACAGCCCATGCCCAAGTGTGGTTTCCCCTGCTGGAAGTGTGACTGCCACTCTGCAGCCCCAAGGGGTGCCCCAAAATGTAGGGACCTGGGCTGCTGATACAGACAGGAATGAGAAGTGGCTTTGGCTATTCCTGTGTTGTTAATAATCCATCTCCCATTTCCACAAGATGCTGCAGACCTCTTTGCAGTTCACAAGACAGAAGTCATCCCTACCACCTCTGGTTTCATTATCCTCTTCCCAACCGCCAACTGATTTATTTACCCACTCCATTCCAAAGGTACTTGGGATATGCTTGTATACCTCTGATTCACCAAAGGGCTTATTGAAACCAGAGGCCCTAGGTTCTAGCCTGCTAATTAGGAGGTAGCGATGTGACCCCGGGCAAGTCTCTGGGCCTCTGTTTCTCCTTAAGCTAATGGGGGAAGTGAGTCTGACTAAAGCTGTACAAATCCTCTAGATTTACATTTATGATTCTGGTAATTAACATATTCAACAGTAGTTAAGAGCAAAATTTTGGAACTAAATAAACCCGGTTTTAGTCTCCCTCTGTGTTATCTGTACCTTACCTTACCTCTGGGGGACAAGTTACCTTACCTCTCGGAGCCTCCAACCACAAACTATGCTGTGTTTCGCACCCTGCGTCAATAAATGTTAGCCTATGTTGTGTTATCTAGATGAATAAAAGTAGTTGTGTTTCTCTTCCTACTTCAGATGACAGACATATTTTCACAAATTTGGAGGATACATTGTGGAAGGTCGGACTTCAAATAAGGGCATCCTGGGGGTGAGAGTGGGATGGAGGGGGTCACTAGGGGAAATAGGGGGGACATCTGTAATATTTTCAACAATGAAGGTACATTTAAAAAAATAAAATCAGGGCATCCTAGAAATTCACCTGAAGCAGTGGCTCTCCACTTTAGCACCCACAAGAATAACCTGAGAGCTGTCACATACCCAGTATCTGATTCTCTAAGTCTGGAGTGGGGCCCGGAATTTGCATTTCTAACAATTTCCTACATGCTCCTGCTGCTCCTGGTCCTAAGAACAAAGTTTGAGAACCATTGACCCTGGTGGTGGTGGAGGTAGTGTTGGTGATGGTAGTGATGGTGGTGATGATAACTGTGGTGGTGAAGGTGCAGCACCTCAAAAAGTTGTAGTGACCCAAGTAGGTGAAATTGAAGGATTCCTGGGGCCCATGTGAATGTCCATTAGGAGAATGATGTCATGCACATTAACAAACAGTCATATCAAATATGAACTCTAAATCAAGATTTGTAAGGGTAGTCTTTAAAAATCTCTGTTGATTTGCAGTCAAGCAGCATCTCACCTGGTAACTTTATGCAATCTGTTTCCGGATTAGCAACCGGAAGAATGCATTTAGAATGATTAATATATTAAGAGACTGAATATCCAGTCACTGGCCAGACCATATATGACAATAGAACTCTGACCCACAGTCTCAGCAGCAATGGCCCAGAACAGTCAGGACTTGGCTGATGGCTGCCAGCTTCTCTAATGTTCACCCCCACTTCCAACTCAGGACCCAGCCATAGAAAGCCAGATGTCCTCTCCAGATCAATCAGACACTACCACCGGCCTCCAGCTTCCTTCCCTGTGCCACTAAACTGCAATTAGGCACACTGGAAGCTCAGC